ACGAGAAGGAAATACACATTATGAAAAATAAATACACACACAGAAAGACTACCCGTTCGAGATGTACCCATATTCGAACGGGATGTGACGATGTGACACATTCCACGTGAGAGAGATGAAGCGTTGTAGGCACACGTACTTACAGATGGACGGTGCGGCGCAATTATTCGCACGGACAGGCAGGAAGGACACAGCCGTAGCGCCGTAGCAGGCTCGCCACACGCTAGCTTTTCAGTTGCATGCCGAAGCCAATTGTATACCCAAGCCAAAATTCAGCGTGGACACAAACACGAGCGCACCTGCCGCCCACCAAGGTGCTGTACGACGTCGCCGCGGCGAGCATCACCGCCCCGACCGTGAAGACGACCGCCGCCAGCAGGATGACCGGGCGCCGCCCCCACCGCTCCATCGCCGGGCCGCCGGCCACCGCGGCTGTCACCGCCGCCACGATGGTCACGCTCACGATCACCTCCTCCTGCCAGTCGCTCAGGCTGAAGTCCTGCTTGATCAGGAGCATCGCGCCCGACACCACACCCGTGTCGTAGCCGAACAGGAACCCGCCTAGCGCGGAGGTGACGGTCAGCATCAGAACAAACCAGGAGAGGTGGTCATCGGGGCGCCGTTGGTGTTGGTTGGTTTCTCGGCTGTTGTCGTCATCGCCACCTCCATCCTCCATTGGCTGGGTGTAACCTGCGCGCTGGTAGTGACTCTCCGTCTCCGGCATTGACTACGACGCAGGGCAGGGCCGTGGTTGTTGGCGCCGTTGCCCTTGCGGCACAACCAGACGACAACACAGGACGTTTGTAGGAGGCAAGCCCCGCGTTCTTTTTCCCTTGGAGTTGACCGTGAAGTTCCAGGGTCAGACACAGCAGCAGTAGCTGGTATCTAATACAATAATGGCGCTGTATTTGGGTACTGCTGTAACCCTGCCGAGAGAGAGGGAGGGAGTGCAAGGCACCTGAAGCACCTGAGAGGAGCGGAAATGTTTCTAGAAAATGCGGTCGGAAAGGGGGTCGACAGAGTGGATGCATCACCCATCACGCAACCGTCACCTGCACCTGGGTCTAAGTGCGGCTCACGTCTATTGCGATACCTGGTATTCATACAGCAGCATGCCTATAATTTCGAGTGTTTTCAGCCGTTCTTCGCATAGCTTACCGTCATTCTGCAGTCTCACCTGCGTAGCTCACATACAACAGTGGGGAGAATGGTCGTTTTCCTTCTGAAGAAAGAAGCATCAGTCATACACATCTACAAGGTTCCCCTGCGGGAGGTATCTATAATAGGTGATTTATCATTTGCCTCCCGGGGGCGACGTAAGACATGGCCAATCAATGCCATCGTACATATCTATACATATCTACATAGTCGATGTAGAAGGGTGAATAGAAGTGAAGTGCAGGTCGAACTTTGTGCAACCTCCTTCACTACAATGTACAAAACCAACCAGCTAATACCGTTACGCAGGATACAGGTTTGAAGCCTTCCGATGTGTGTGTGTGTATGTACTCCGGAAGATATTGTTGTAGTCAAAGGGCAATGGACAGGCAAGTCGACCCAACAACTCGACTCAACAAAGTACGAACGCCCCTCTACCCCGCAAATCAGATGGGGTAGCTCATCCAGTCCAGCCAACATTGATCGGTAAACCAGAACCAGTTGATAAAAGTGGGTACGTTGACGTTACGGCCTTCCAAGACCGACTAAACTAAATAGATGGAGTGATCATATTGCAGAACAAAAAAAAAAGCATGAACGAAGACACACGTACTCTTTGCGAACTGGAAACACACACAAGCATGATGGAGATAGTCCAAGGTTCAGCGCCGAACCTACAGGGTCAACACGCGCTCGAACTCCACGATATTGTCCATCGAGGGCAGTAGCAGCAATCAAAGCGCTCTCATTCGGGGTGGTGGTTGTATACGTCTCGACTACTGTTTGTTCGCGGACCACGGCACGCCATGCTTCGTTGAGCACCAGCCCGCACCGTCGCTTGCCAGCTTGTCGGGCATTCTGTGCACGGCGGGGCCAACAAGTTGGCCAAAGCCGCGACACATCCAAGCAACAAACGAAACACCCGCGTGAAACGCACACGCACTG